GGGTGGGGAGGGGGAGGTGATGGGGAGGGGGAGGGTGGTTGCTCCCGCTGGCTGCCCGCCGCCCCTCTCCTCCGCTCCTTAATTTCGGGCTGATGAAATGGACGCCCAGAGGAAACTGCAATCACACATGGCCGGAAAGAGATCAGAAAGGAATTTAAAAAAAAAAAAAAAAAAAAAAAAAAAAAAAAAGCAGGATCTTGGAGAAAGGAAAATCCAAGGGAGGGAAAAAGACGGCTGAGGGTGACATCTAGAGGAACTCAAGATGGGGACCAGCTTTGTGGGGTGCCCCAGGCCCTGCCACTGGCTGGGGGTACCCTGGGACAGGGATGGGGTTGCCTGGGTGGAAAAGTGGTTGTTTGGCAAAAAAGGGTTAAAGTTAAAGAAAGCGGCTGCTGTGGCTTTAGCTCCTGGCTGTCCCCGCTGCGACGCTGATCGGGGACTGAAGTTGCACGAATGACCAGGACCGGAGTCACTGCTGTTACGAGTTTTGTCCTGCCTCAAATATATGGGAAGAAAGAGGCTGGGGACTGCAGTGGGGGAAAAGAAACACAGCTGGAGAGAGGGGGGAAGGCAGCAGGGGACAGGGCTTGGTGTCACAGCCCCTGTTTTGTCCCTTTGATGGGTGCTGGATGGGCAAAGACAGTGCTACAGGGCAAATGCTTTGTGCGGGGGTTTTAGGGGAGGCAGGGGTGCGAGGTGGGACCAAGGGTGCAGGGGGTGGGCAGGGGCTTCCTCCCCAGCCCCACACTTTGGGGGTTTGGACCAGGAGGGCATCTTGTGGTGCTGGGGCTCTGAGACTCCTGGAGCATATCGGGGTCCCGGTGATGGAGGCTCAGCAGAACCAGGGCTTGCCACCGGCCCTTGTGGGAGAGAGGACACAGGATCTGCTGTGAGTGGGGAGCTGTGCAGGCTGTTTCAGGCCTAAAATACCTGAAAAATCATTTTACTCATTACATATGGGACATGTTTAGAGTTGGTTTCAGCCCTCCAAAATCCTTAGTCCTTCCCCAGAGGCTGCCAAGATCCTCCTGGCTTGCAGGTTCACTCTATGGTGGTGGCACCTATGGACCCACTGGAAACCACTGGGGTCCCCAGCGTCATGGCATGGGGTTTGTCAAAACATCTTGATGCTCACACATATGAGGGCCTGCAAATTAAAGCAGTTTATACCTTCACCCCTCCCAAAATACAATGGTGGGACTGGTACTTTGGAGCAAAGCACCGTCTCTCCGGGTTTTGCTCGTGCTCTCTCCAGTTGCCTCTGCAGGGACAGAAATTTTGGCAGCCCTGGCAGGACTTGACCCATGCAAACCTCATGAAGTTCAACAAGGCCAAGTGCAGGGTCCTGCACCTGGGTTGGGGCAACCCCCCTCGTCCATACTGACTGGGGGATGGATGGATTGAGAGCAGCCCTGTGGAGAAGGACTTGGGGGTACTGGTGGATGAAAAATGGGATGTGAGCTGGTAATGTGCACTTACAGCCCAGAAAGCCAATTGTCTCCTGGGCTGCATCTAAACCAGCGTGACCAGCAGGTCCAGGGAGGGGATTCTCCCCCTCTACGCTGCTCTGGTGAGACCCCCCTGGAGCACTGCGTCCAGCTCTGGGGTCCCCAGCACAAGACACATGGAGCTGTTGGAGTGGGTCCAGAGCAGGGCCACAAAAAGTGATCAGAGGGCTGGAACACCTCTCCCATGAAGAAGGGCTGAGAGAGTTGGGGTTGTTCAGCCTGGAGAAGGCTGCAGGGAGACCATATTGTGGTCTTTAAATATATAAAGGGGGTTCATAAGGGAGATGAAGAGAGGCTTTTTACCAGTGCCTCAAAAGGTAAGACAAGGGGCAATTGTTTTAAACTGAAAGAGGGTAGGTTTAGATAGGACGTAAGCAAGAAATTCTTTATAGTGAGGGTAGTGGGACACTGGTTGCCCAGAGAAGCTGTGGATGTTCCATCACTGGAATTGTTCAGAGTCAGGTTAGACGGGGCTTTGAGCAACCTGGTCTAGTGGGAGATGTCCGTGTCCATGGCAGGGGGGTTGGACTAAGTGACCTTCAATGGTCCTTTCCAACCCAAACCATTCTGGGATTCTGGGATTCTATGCCTGCAATGGGGCTGGATGTCCAGGGAGCAGCTTTGCACCACCTGGCAGTGGCTCACTGAGGATTGGGCATTTAGGCTTTTATCCCCATGAAGGTTGGTCCCACACTAAGTGTTTTGGCTGATTGGAGAGCAGGGCGAGGTCTCCATCTTTGCACTGGCTGACTGCAAAACTCCCCTTTCCCAAAGAATTAGGGGACATATGGGGTGAAAATGAGATCCTGAAGAGTTTGGTTTTTTCTTTCTTTATCCATGAATTAACTTCTGTTTTCCCCCTTCTCTGGAGCAGAATAAGCTTTTGTTTAAGGCAATAAGCTGCAGAGATACTGGCTTCTTGTGTTTATGTTTTCCATTTCCAGGCAAATCCCATTTCAGAGCCCCCTGAACATGAGTCTGGGAACTGAACATCCCAACCGCAGCGAGCCGCGGTGGACTGAGGATCAGAATAGAAGATTGTTTTTACACAGGGGATTTAACAGCCTGGGTTTGGCTTCTGATGTCCATCCAAAGCATGCGGGTGGAGAAGGAATGCTCTGTTTTCAGTCTGCAGTGGAGTCACTGTTTTAATTTTAGCTTCTCCAGAGCAAAGCTGTAAGCAAGCCTTTACCAAAGCAAAGCCTATGGAGGCTGGAAGGGGCAGAGGAACTGGAGCCTCTGGAGCCGTGGCACACAGGGGTACTGGGGTGTCCCGCTCCCGCCCCCCCCCCCCCCCGGGGATGCCGGGCCCCCCAAATCCATGTGTCCCTCTTAAAAACACTGATGTGACTCATCTGTGCAGGTCAGAGGAGGTGTTGGGACATCGTGTGGCTGCCGGTGCTGACACCAGGAGGGCAGAGCTGAGCTCAAGGAAGAGCCATGAATGCACCAAAAGGACCTTCATTTTGCAAGAGCAAAGCTCCATCAAGTGGTGCCAATAAACCCCCACCAAAACACAGAGGAGCTTCAGCGGGTGCAATTTATGTGTATGGCAGGAAAAACTGATCCCAGGAGAAATCAAGCAAGTTTAATTTCCTCTGTGGCTTTCCATGGTTGATAGTTACTGCTGGACGTGAGCATCAGCCTCTGCTTTGCTCGCAGCTCACTGATGTCCCAGTGGGTTGGTGCTGCCCGCAGAGCTCCAAAGCCCCTTTTGGGAGAGCAGCCAGGTCAAAATGAACCCAAAAAGGTTTCAAAATTTCACCACCTTCTTCCTAAGGATCCTTTCCTCTCTGCAAGGGCTTGCAAAGAAATAGACGTTGCTGCTTTTCCTTCAACAGCTGCTGTAAGATCCAGCAAATGCCCCTGCTCAGTCACTAACTCGCAACTCAGTATTTGTTGAGAACAGTTTGCTTCCCCTTTCCTTGGCGGTATTGTGAAATTCCCGAAACCTCATTGCGCTGAAAGGATTTGCAAATGTTTTTTTAGCAATGAACCCCTGAGCGGCAGGTTGTGGAACGTGGGAATGTTGCAACGGCAGCCGGTGTCGCAATGGCACTGGCCAAGGACAAGCACAGATCCCTGGCTGGGTGTGCTCTCCATCCAGGCTCCACCAAGCAATGCTGGTCAGCATTGCCGGCTGAACAGGCAAACCATATTTCCAACGCAAACATTTACAGTTGTCAATGTATGGATTTCTTTCATAACCTTTCCAAGCAGGGAAAAATCCAATGCCCAAGTGCTTGGGGAACAAAGTCTTTCCCCCTTCACAACTGAAGCTGGACTGATACGAATTTTTTCATGTGAACAAATATTTATGGAGATGCTGCCACGGTCTCATGCCAGCTTGGTTGTACCCCTTGGAAATGAGGCACTCACTCACTGCAAGGGAAACAGCCATGGAAACCAGGAGCTGGTGGAGTCCCATGAGTCAGTGTGGTCACAGACACCTCCTTGTTCAGTAAAGGAAAATGCATTTTGCTTGTGGGGTGTCATCAGCCCTTGTCCCCTGCCCCACAGAGCAGAGGGCTTGGGGTGTCGTTGGATTAATTGAGGTGTAGCTGCTCTTGCTGCTTAGAAAGGTTTATGGTTCGTGGTTGGTCCTTGCTGCCTCCAGGCAAGCTCAAACCATCCCAATTTTAGCGGGTGAACACTGAGGAGAAAAAAGAGGCTTTGCTCTCTCTCCCCACTTTAAATATCTTGGAAAACAATTGCCTTGAGTGGGAATGACAGTGATGTGGAAGTGTGCAGATCATCGCTCTAATTTCTCCCCTTCCCCAAATCCATGTATTTAGGTCTGCATGCAGCTCGTGCACCAGTAGCGAGACTGCAGGCAAGGAAGAGGGCAAAAAAATAATCATCGCAGCAGAAAACTA